TGAAAGCGAAGAAAATTCACTGGGTGATAACTCTGGTCCGCTGACTAGTCGCCCAATGAAGAATCCGGATGGTATGTGTTACCGTAAATCTTCGTGACAGAACGTTACGTTCGTTGGAAAATTCAATGTTCCTAAAACAATTCACAAAATTTGCTGGAACGCGTTTCTCGCAAAACGCCCTGGGTTTAAATCGGGCGGCGCAAATGTTCACGAACGGAGCCAAGAACCCCGCTCTCAACATCCCGAATTGGACACAACGGGCTCATCCAGTAATATTTAATTTACAATTCGTTCTTACATTTTCTGCAAGCACTTAACCCCCTAAATCTGTGGTGAAAAAATCAGGTCGATAGCTTTAATATTGACCGAGATAAATAGTAAAGTACATAGGAACGCAATTAGGAAAGTTAAAACAGGTAATATTAAAAAATTATAAATTTCAAAACAGAAGCCGTGAACAGTTTAAATTTGAGCAAAATCCGATCCTGTTCCGAATGATTACGAAAGACAACGGAGTTGTTGAGTAAAAATGCCGAATCGCTGCCTCCGAAAAGCCGCTACTGACAGTGGACGTCACACCTGGTATGATATGATGGGATGGTAAACGGGTACAAAAAAAACTGCCACGTTATAATAAAATTCTTACTTTAAAAATAAGCAGCATTTAAAATAAATATTTGATACTTACGGTTAAACGAATTCTATTCTTAATTTTATGATCTACATACATTTTATAGACACATGTTTTGTATTGTATTAATGTATCGTTTGTTAATTTGTTTTGGTCAAATAATTGTATATATTTTTTTAAGAATATATTTGGATATAAATATTTCTCAGTAATAAAAAATATTTTGTTTCAAACTCACAACACCTAGTACAACAGCTAGGATCGTTTGTAAGTTTAACCAACCAGACATAGGTCGGTTTGGGACTTATTGATGGTCCTTATCATTATGTCGTTAGAACGATCCAGCTGCTTTAGTAGTGTTACTCACAAGGAGATGTGTATACACAGAGCGTAAGTACTGGCTCCATCTATCGTGCTACTCACCACCTACGCCATTCTGTGACCTACAATTTTCTTTCAAGAAAACATAAGTTTGATTATAATGTGCTTCATTTGTCTTGAATAATTCCTACATTAATACTAAATTTTAAATATATATATTTCAAGGAACTGGTAGTTTTGAAACGAATATGTTTGTAGCTAAAGTCCGAGATAGTAAATTTCAAAACTATAAAAGATTTGAATTAAATTATATATATTTACAAATAATATAAATTCTGAGAAAAATTATAGATTACAGCAAATATTGCACATAGTTTGACGAAAGTATATACATTTGAATAGAATAAAATAACATTTAATACTATCTGCTCATTTGATCCAAATACTTATTTTTTTCAGTGTGTATGATATGCAAACGCATGTATACGAACCACAAAAGAGTTATATGGTTATACCCTACTTTTTGTCAGGAGAAAACGATGCTGTTGCAAGAACACGACCTATAAATACCGAATAAGAGAAAATTGTAGAATTGGTTCAACATTTAAGGGATTCTGGGCGCTTTAAATGCCATACACCCTGTATCCCGTTACCGTGAAGGAAAGTGATAATATGACTGAATAGTATTTCACAGAATACAGACGGCAAATAAAGAAGCGATATTGAGCACCACCCTCAAATATGATCCTATATAAAATTTATGGAAGATGGAGGAATATAACAACACAAAGAAATTTTAAATCTGACCAAAATTAAAGGCGATGTGATAGTTCAACTCTTATCTATGTTAGGTGTGAAATATAAAAGAAATTAAAAAACCGTACAAATTTTCTTGTTCGATGTATTTTTAAGAAAAATATAATTTTGCAGTAATTACAGCACTGAATATATTCTTACAGAAGGCGATAATAAATGTGAAAATGGATATCCTTCGGGATTTTTAAGGCCGTTTTTCACGAAAACAGTATAGAAACCGTTGCAGTAAATAATTCTTACTAATAACGAGTACGTATCCCGAAAATGCTATCTTTTCACCTCTCCGAACTCAGATTTATTGTTACAATTTTGTTCAAAGGAATTCTGTGAATATATACACTTAGCTTAGTCCTTTCATTAAATAAGAGCTGGATACCTTATTTACGAACAGATGTTCGTAATTTATTATAAAATGGTTGCAAGACTTTTATCGACGAGAGCGTTTTATGAATAGACTAATAACGTCAACAGTCACTAATAAATCACCCGCATTCAATGTCTTACCATATTAATGTTAACAAAATTTCCCAGAGAAAGATTACAGCTATTTTTATATTTTTGATGGTGCAAGTTATACGATAAAATTAATATATTATATCCAATATATCACTCGGGCTCGTTGTGAAGGCATCAATTTTATTTTAGCAACAAAAAAATCGGAAGTGAAGCGAAATTAATATTTACCAGTTACTGCAAATATAGGGTGTAATTTATTAAAAGAAAAGCGAATCCCGATTATCAAAGGTGTAATATTATAATTCAAATACAGTAGAACCTCGATAATCCGAACTAATTGAGGTTCGGATTATCAAATAGTGCTCAGACAAACTCAGATTTCAGTAATTTAACGCTCGAAACTTTTTCAAGTGTAAGTCAGTCAGATTTGGATTTCAGGTCGTTCGGATTAGTGAGGAGTTACGATTATCGTCATTCGGAGTATCGAAGTTCTACTGCAAATTCAAAATATCGAATGAAATGAAGGCAGTTTCTTTATATCCAAAAATCGGAAGTGAAGCGAAATTAATGTTTACCAGTCGCTGCAAATATAAAGCGTAACTTATTAAAAGAAGCCCGCAAACCTGAAGTGAATCCGCGATTATCAAAGGTGTGGCGCCTAAACTACATTAAAATTATCTTATTCAATAATATTCCCGTGTTTATTAAGTATACCGGAAATGTAAATTGGCGAAATCTCATTAAAATGTCGCACACGTAGTGGAATTGTGATTCTAAGGTGGTAAGTTAATTATTCAGACCGATGGAACAAAAGCCTACACAAAGCAAGAAATTAAAACAAATAAGACGCGATACGCGACAGCGATGCTTAATATTTTATATGGATTGAAGGAAGGGATGTTGCGACTAACTGAAACTTTGATTATTGCATGAGTCAGTGTCGCCTGATTTTCGGTCTGGGTTATCGGGAATCTTTCGAAAGATGTACATCCAAATGTTGCCAAAACAGTGTATATTTATGTCGTTTCACCTAAACTACAACCACATTATCTAATCTTAACTCAATTATGCGAATAGATTTAGTTTTAGAATTGAATTTTTTAAATATTCAACGTGAATGCGACAAATGAAAATAAAACTGTTTTACAGTTCTCAGGGCTTCAATGACCAATCTTATTTTTTATATGTAACTATATGTATATAAAATTGTTAAACTACAATATTGATTGAAAAAACAAATGTGTATATCAGTTTAACGAGAAAATGATTGCTCTATCCATAAACGAGTTTTAATTTCACTTTGTACTATATCAGTTCTCTATGCTATTAACATCGACTTATAAAGTGGATAATACTTCAGCAAATAAACATTAAACATCTATAAACGATCAACAAAACTCATTTTCTATGTCGTTACATGAAAAACTGTTATGTAAAAAAGTTTTTATGTCAAAGACGTAGGTACCTACTTTCAAAAATTTTATTTTCTTTATGCTCAGTAGGTTTATATAGAGTGCAACGTTAGTATTATACAGGGTGTAAGAAGTTGAGAAGTTGAGAAGTTGAGAAGAAATTAACAGAAAAGTTGTATATTACAGGGGCGTAAGATTAACAGTTTTCATTAATCAAAAGTAATTTTACGGAACAATATTATCGACATTCTATGTAAATTGTCATTCTTGTAATTCGACAAAGTATATTGTTGGCCGTAAGAAACCTATTTTACTTATTGTAATTTTACTGTACTCATTTTTACAACGAGATCTTAAAATGAAATGCCATGCGTTAAAGATACTGATAAATTAAAACTTGTTAAACTAATAAATAAAATAATAAAAAGTTACTTGCTTGATGATTTTCGGTGCACACTGTTTTTTAAAAGAATAAAATTTGGCGAAGTATTTAATTTACGTTAAATGTGCAATTACATTAGAGCGAAAGTAACTTCACAAAACACTTTATTCAGTTGTAAATTTACATTTCAATTGTAATTCCACAAGGAATATTGATAAATCTGCCCAACACTTTTAATCTACCTTAAATGTGAAATTACATTAAGGTCGAAAGTAATTTTACAGAATATTATTATCGAATTTTATGTAGGTGTAAATGTACTTTTTAATGTAATCCTAGAAATTTCACTAAATTTGGCAAAGTTTTTAATTTATGTTAAATGTGAAATTACATTAGATCGAAAGTAATTTTAAAAAATATCATTACCAATACTTTATGCGGTTTACATTACAATTGTAATTGTTGTAATTTCACAAGGTGCTAAATTTGATAAAGTTTTTAATTTACCTTAAATGTGAAATTACATTAAATCAAAAGTAATTTTTCCGAACATTATTATCAAATTTTATGTAGGTGTAAATGTACGTTTTAATGTAATTCTTGAAATTCAACAAGGTATATCACTAAATTTACATTAGATTGAAAGTAATTTTACAAAATATCATTACCAGTTGTAAATTTACATGACAATTGTAGCTTTTGTAATTCCCCAAGTTGCTAAATTTGATAGTTTTTAATTTACATTAAACGTGAAATTACATTAATTGTAAAATTTCACTCCTAAAGTCACAGTTGTGAATAATTCGCTTTACTAAGATTTTCATTTGGATTTATTACTTGAAACAGAGGCGCATCGTTGCAGCTCACTCTGTATAGGACAAAATTTAATTTGTTACGTACACAACCGAGCCGAAACACCTTCAAATAATGTATGTTGCCGATGCAAGGACATCGTCAAGTGACTAACTAACTGTCGACTTACCATTTAACTGGAATATCAGCAGCATATAGAGCAGATGTGGGTACGTCGTCCGAAGAGTTTGTGCGTTATGCATGATTGCACGATCTCAATCCACCCCGTCTATGTGGCCGCTGACTCCCATGGCCCTGCAACAGACATTAAAGTGAGTGTGGTCCCTTACCCGCCATGTTAGGGGCCGCGGGTCCCCCCCTCGGCTCTGAACTCCCCGTGCTACAATTCCCAACGAGAGGCTTGCTGGCTCTGATGTTGTGTAGTGATGTTACTCTTATCATCAACCGCAAACGGAATATACAATACTTGCAATTGCTGCCCGATTTAGGCTGTTACTTGGGCAAAAACTCTCGCAAAAACGGGCCACTCGCCTTGCCCTTGCTAATTATTAAAACGGTTGCCCAATTAGTAATTGCTCAGGATAATTTGAGGACCGTACATATACTTTAATACGTCAAATTAATTAATTAAATATGTATTTACACAATTAAGTGGAAATTTATCGTTTACTGTCACTATTTATGCACTGGCACAAATTGTGGAAATTTACATAGAATTTTTACATATTTGCAACGGTTTTAAAAAGATAAAGAATACATAATACCTTTTCTAGAATTACTTTTACGATGTAGTGTCACTTTTTACATTGTACTATTACATTTCATGTGTTACTCCTAATTACTTATATTTTTTTTACTATATTTGATGTAATATACAAATAAAACTGCACTGCCCTATGCTAATTGTAAGTATACAGGGTGTCACAAAAAGACCCGAACCTCCGAAAACTTAATACAGTAAAACCTCGATAATCCGAACTAATTGGAACAAAAGGTTGTTTACCAAAAAGTTCGGATTATTAAACACTGCTCACGTGAACACACAACAAACTCAGGTTCCAGTAATTTAACGTTCGAAACTCGATCAAAATTAAAACAGCTCGAACGGGAATCAACTAGAAATACAAGAAATTACATGTGGTACATACGGACATGTACTGTTTTGTTTGCGCGGTTACGATGTCGTGTATCGACAAGTGATTTTCCCGAATTTCAATATTGTATGCAGTCAGATTCGGGTTTTAAGTTGTTCGGATTAATGGGCGTTTCGGATTACCAACATTCGGATTATCGAAGTTCTACTATAAGTATTTCATTTGATCGAATTATAGCAACATTTAGAGGAATTCCGATGTTCGGATTATCGAGGTTCTACTATAAGCATTTCATTTGACCGATTTATAGCAACATTTAGAGGAATTCCGATGAAAGTATTTTCTTCATATGATTTAAAATAGAATTCAGATTATAGAAAAAGCCTCATCGATATGCTACGTCTTTTTAACGGATGTAATTAGCAGATTCCGACATAATCGAAACCACAGAAGCTTTCCTGGAACTTAAATAAAATTAAGTAGATGGATTAAAAATATACAACACACGTTACATTTAACTTTGTAGGTTTTAGTTGGAACTGGTATTTTTATAACGGAAATAAGAGTTTTCGAAACATAAACAGAAGAGAACCGTTATTTTGTTCACATCGATCTATTTTCGAGTAAGATTTTTATATAAAGTGAGCTTAAGGAATCCAACTTACAGCTGACCCATTTTGGTGAAAAGGTTTTGTTTTCTAAATTCCTTTAAAACTTTATCAAATGTTCAACTGAACGACGCCGCGCCTTAAATAGTTGTTCTCCAACATAATGAAGTGGCAATTACTCTTAACCATTACCATGCCCTTTCTCATGATTTCTAAATCTGACTTATGGCGTTTCATATATGAATCGATACCTGTTTAATCTATTTCCAATCTCGAAGAATAGATCCGGGCAAAAATTATTTAATATGGCACACGTCAGTGAATCAGTGAAGACCATTTGCCAGAGAACACCTATATTCCTCTGCGGTAAACGATACCGCATTTGTTTCCAAAGTAAACAACTTCAGTGCCACGTGGTCATCATGCCACTAGTCCGTATCCTCTTCCTTTCCAGTACGTGCCATGCCTTAGGCAAATTGGGGTCTTGTTCATCGGAAAATAACACTACCATAATTATTTCAAATTGAAGACGGTTCCCTCATACATATAAGGTCAAGAATCCATTTATTCTACTAAATATAGATAGGGTTTGCACTTGAAAGTCAGTTAATAAAAACTAAGCACAAATTAAAAAATGATGGGATTTATACCAGTTTTTCTTTGCTTGCAAGATATATCTTAGCATTGAAAATTGTCAGTAAATTCACCTGTATTTATTTTTGTTCATGAATAAATGTGATTATGCAAATGTAATTCCCATTGCACTGGAAAATTACAGTGAATATACATTTTTACCAATCTATCTTATTATCATCACTGCAGTATTTTAATTGTGATTATACACACCATTTAGTTATAGGAAAAAGGTTTTTTTGTGCTAAATTTGTCACTGTTAGTAATGTATTTTAAGTGTGAAATTACATTAGGGTTAGAAGTAATGTTACAGAATATTATTATTAAATCATATGCAACTGTAAATTTGTTACAATTGTAATTTATAAAATTCTATAAGGTAAACTGTTCAAAGAAAAATTTTTTAATTTACGTTAAACGTTAGATCAAAAGTAATGTCAAAAACATTATTTTCAATTTTATTGTAGTTGTAAATTTACGTTTCACTTGTAATTACACAAGGTATTTTGGTAAATTTGACAAAGCTTTTAATCTACCTTAAATGTGAAATTACATTAAGGTATTAAGGTCGATAGTAATTTTACAGATTATTATCGATTTTTATGTAGCTATAAATGTACTTTTTAATGTAATTCTTGAAATTTCACTAAAGGCAACGTTTTTAATTTACCTTAAATTTAAAATTACATTAGTGCGAAAGTAATTTTAAAAAATATCATTACCAATACTTTATGCACTTGTAAATTTACATTACAATTGTAATTCTTGTAATTCCACAAGATGCTAAATTCGATGAAGTTTTTAATTTACATTAAATGTGAAATTACATTAAGATCGAAAATAATTTTACCAGACATTATTTTCAAATTCTATGCAGTTGTTTACGTTCCCACTGTAATTTTTTAAATTCTACAAGGTATATTGCTAAATTTGACAAGGTTTTCAATTTACCTTAAACGTGAAATTACATTATATCGAAAGTAATTTTACAAGACATTGTACATTTACATTTGAATTATAATTCTTGTGAATCCACAGTATATATTACTAAATTTGTTAAAGTTTTTAATTTACCTCAAATGCGAAATTACATTAAATCAAAAGTAATTTTTCAGAACATTATTATTGAATTTTATGTAGGTGTAAATATACGTTTTAATGTAATTTTTGAAATTCCACAAGGTATATCACTAAATTTGACAAAGTTTTTAATTTACATCAAACGTGAAATTACATTAATTGTAAGAATTGTTAAAGTAATAAATAAAATAAAATCATTTATTTGAAACAAGTGAAATTGAAACAAGTACTGGTCCAATGCGTTAATATTTGTAATCCAATATTCACTTGACTTATATATTATGTAGGGTTATTATTATCATTAAGAGCAAAGGGAATATGGAACACGCAATTTCTGGTTGGTTTAGGCACTTATGTGAGCAAAAACTTCGACAAGAGAACTTTGCTGGTATCGTGCTTACTAATTGTTAAAATATTTGCTTGCTAGTAATTGTTTGGGTGTTTATGTGAAGGAATTTAGAGCTTGAGAATTGGAGAACTAGTTATACAGGGTGGGATTAGATAACTTAGTTTCCACATTAACATGAGACCTTTGTGCTACTAATGTACTAATTGCGTTTATACAAATTAAAGCGACATCTCTCAATATTTAGAAAATACAGTTTTAATCATAAATTTAAAAAACTAGTACAGCTGCAATTGTGTACATTTTGGGCTGGAAAATGGCAAACAACTACATAATTCCAAAAGTTATTATACATATAACTACGACCCATCAATGTGCGTCAAACTTTGTTGGCATTAATTTTGCAGACAATAGCAATAATATTTCTAGTCCTAGAGACTGAAATTTATTATCTAAGGTTGGGTTCACCTTCTCCCTCTTCATCAAACATATTGCAAAATGTTACAAGTCGAAACAAAGAGCCGATCAAAAATCGTAAAATACTCAATAGTTTAGAGAATTGTCCAGACAAGATATACAGGGTGATTCGCAAATGGTGACCAAAGATAAAACCTCGTATTCTTTGGTGAATTTTAAGGGGAGTCCTTAAAGTTCGTTAAAAAGATACAAGGCGTTAAACTTATAAAAAATATTTTTAATTTTTCTAAATAATTTAAAAACCAGTATGTGAAATAATTTGCAATTGGGCACATGTATTTATGTAAACATTGTCCTAAATCTGAGGGCTTTTCCTAAAATTGACATGCTTCAGTGGCGGAGATACAGGGTAGCGGTGGCATATTTTTCTAAATAAAATAGTACGCCACTGCTTTACGGTAACAACCATGATATTTTCGGATTCGTCTGTCAATTTTCTACAAATTACTACTCTCTTATGTTTTTCGAAAAAAGGCTGATTTTCGAGTAAAACTTAAAAAATAAACTGAAACACTTCGATATTTTTAAGTTTTACTCGAAAATCGGTCTTTTTTCGAAAAACATAAGAATGTAGTAATTTTTAGAAAATTGAAAGGCGAATCCGAAAATATCATGGTTGTTCCGTAAAGCAGTGGCGTACTATTTTATTTAGAAAAATATGCCACCGTTGTATCTCCGCCGCTGGAGCATGTCAATTTTAGGAAAAGTCCTCAGATTTAGGACAATGTTTACATAAATACATGTGCCCAATTTCAAATTATTTCACTTACTAGTTTTTAAATTATTTAAAAAAATTAAAAATATGTTTTGAAGTTTTTAACACCCTGTATCTTTTTAACGAAGCGTCCTAAATAAAAACTTTATCGGAAAGACCCCTTAAAATTCACCAAAGAATACGAGGAATCATTTTTGGTTACCATTTGTGAATCACCCTGCATAATAATTGAATTAAAACAATTGGAAACCTAGGTAAAAATTGTAAAAAAGAAGTTCATCATTGCCATATGCTGTGATAATTTTAATTAATTAAAAGTAAATTCGTGTTAGTTTCGTATT